TCACATGGTTTTTGGATGCTAGGGACTGAAGGTAAACCCGACTCCAAAAATCAAGTGCTTAATGTACATTGTACTTCTCAGTTTTAGGAACAAAAAGGGGAAGTTAAAGAGATCTTATGTAACAGCTAAGCAAGAGTGGGAGAGCAAGAGAACTACCTGAATGAGTCAAAGGGAAATACGGAATTTTAAGAGAAAAGGTGACCATACTTTTATGTGAAGTTTTAACTGCTTATCATATTCAAGATGCTGACATCGTTTACTGACAAGGGTAGGAAAGACAATTTGTGGTAAGATCTTGTTTACAGATCATAACTACTTGAGGTGGCAGAGTAAATTTATGAAGAATCACAGGCAACTAGAAATCTACAAGATTCTATGTATCAAAATATCCTTTATAAATAACTTTACAAGAATATATAGGGAAACACACACTGGACCCAAATGATACCCCCCCCCCCGATAAAATAAAACATATCACGACTGTAATCTTGCCAGCAAGGGATCTAGACAATGAACAGATTTCTGTTACAAGATAAAAGTCTAAAGGAACTTAGAACAAAGTAATTTGGAAACTAGTGTCTAACAACCAAATAAGAAAACGAGATAATCAGTATCTGGAGAAATCCAAACATGATCTTCTTACACGCTTGACTTCTGTCTGAAGACTGTCCCTAAAACAGCAGCTGTCCTGAAGAGAATCAAGAGATCCTAATAATGTAGAGAAGATAGGAAATATTCACATATCAAACCTCTTCCTGGTGAATCCCAAGAAGTATTGGTGCAAATTCAGTAATACGGCACCAAGAATTAGCCATAACATAGCCCTGATGAGAAGAGGAGCAACCTGCATTCCACCTGACAGGTTAACAGCTAAGTAGACTCACTAGGGCTCTACTTGCTCTCACTAGCTCACCCTTTTGATAAACTGAGGCTGCTATATGTGCCTTACTCAAATAAAGAATATCCTACAAGCAAAAGTAGTAGTGTGTCTTCTCTTTTCCCCTACTGCTGGTGGTAAAAGTCTGTCTGCATAGATCTTAGGTTTAATGCCTAATGTATCACTCTGGAGAGTACCCCTCCTTAAATATTCGGAAGTACAGAGTGTCCCCCCAGTAAACGTTCAGAAGTGCAGAGAATAGCAAACGCTCTGACAGGCTTCCAGAGAAGTCTATCTTCGGAAGTTTCATCAAGCTGGAGATTTGGGTTTACTCTTAGAAAAAAATAAAATCAACTCGATACAATGTCTATTTCCAAAGCCCAAGGACAGCTCTCACTCCTGCAATACAAAGAAGCAAAAAGAGGGATAAACACCCAGTGATTATGGGGAACTAGCAGGTTTATTTGGGTCTACTGATAACTGCCAACATTAAACAAGGATCCTCTTTAGCTGCGGCACAATGTACACTACCCTTACAACTAAGGAGCCCCTTTTCAGGGCGCCTGGGTGGTTCAGTGGGTTGGGGCCTCTGCCTTCGGCTGGGGTCATGGTCCCAGGGTCCTGGCATGGAGCCCCTTGTCCGGCTCTGTGCCTGGCAGGGGGGCCTGCTTCCTTTCCTCTCTCTCTGCCTGCTCGTGATCTCTGTCAAATAAATAAATAAAATATTTTAAAAAAAAAGGAACCCCTTTTTCCACCCCAATTTTCCTGGCAATACAATCTGAAATCAACAGTAACAGTAATGAACAAGTCTTACCATGTGACTCATACTACAGCTGTTAATACTGTCCCATGAAAATCTCCTTTAGAACTCTGGGTCGGCCAAAGCTGTCTTCCCAGGTAAATGGTACATGTATTACCTCCCACATCAGCTAATGCAATTCCCTTTATCATCTGACTCCTAGGAGGGAAGAGTTGCATGTGATGATCAGCCTCATCAATTGTCTTAGTCCTCAGGGTTAATATTTTTTCCCTTCCTTCTACAATTTTGACTTTTTCTTTTTTTAAAGATATATCTATTTATTTGAGACAGCGAGTGAGCACATGGGTGGAGGGGAGAGGGAGAAGCAGGCTTCCCACTGAGCAGAGAGCCGGATACAGGACTTGATCACAGGACCCTGAGACTACCACCTGAGCCAAGGGCAGAAGCTTAACCAACTAACTACCCAGGCACCCCTAGTTTTGACTTTCTATCTATATTGTATGTGTCTTGTGTGACAAGCCATCTCAAATGCTCACTAAAAAGAGGAATAGTAAGTATACCAATAGACTTCCTTAAAACCACTTTTGCAATCTTATCTCCTAACATGCACATATCTCTACCTGTTCCAAATGAAAAGCACTCATTAGGTAGATGAGGAAACTGACATACAGAACCTCATTTGCTTAAGGTAGCACCCATTTAGTTCACTTCCTGACACCTAGATCAAACCTTGAATCAAACCAACAAGTCCTATTAACTTCACAGTACTGTGGTAGACCCTGGGGCATACAAAATTAAGTTATAATTATAGTTGAAGAATCTCAATCTTTGCTTTTAAATGATGGACATCTACTCTGCCCACAAAGTGAACAAAATTTCACCAGTTACACTGGAATCTGATCTAAGGACCATCAAGGTCACCCTAAAGTGACCTATAGCCTGACTGGCACCTCACTTCCTGAGGGGCCCTGGGGCTTGGAATGATCTAAGGATTACTTAGTCTACAGCCACACTGGAATCCTCACAGGGTAAGGCCGGCACCATCTGAAGAGGTCTTTTTCTTATATCACTCAGAACACACCACACTGCATTTTTTCTCTTTTCTCAAGCTTTCTCACATTATCCACACATGGCAGAGGTACAAAAGTTACTTGTCATAATGTCCAATTCAGTTGTTCTGAAAAAACGGATCACCTAGAACTTGCTGTGTGACCTTGACCAGTCCTCAGTCAACTCATTAACTAAATAAATGCCTTTTATCATCACTAGGGGAAGGGTAATTAGTCATCATAAATCACTTTAATACAAAGTGCTGTGTAAATGCTAAACAACAAACCTCAGGCAGAGCAGGATTAATAAGAAACACGGGGGTACATTTACCAACAAATGGAAACTTATAATAGGGTCTTCCCACATTCCTGGCAGAGACTGCTCATTTCAGCTAATGCAATGAGTCTTTAAAATCATTAGCATTTGGCTTGACAATAGTACACATGAACAATATTCCTCCTGGGAAAAAAAGAGGAAAAGGAATATTTATTCTTGGTAGAGGGTCCTACAGACTTCTCAATTACTAGTTAGCTAGGTGGGCAATTAATATTTGAATACCTACTACATGCTAGGTATGGAGCTATGCACAATACATACACTGGTGAACAAGAGTCCCTGCCTTTATGTAGTTTACAACCTACAATACAAACTTTGCCTTACTAGTAAGTAGCACTTGCAAGAATACGGTCTTATTAAAATTAAGGCACGTAAGAATAAAGACGCTTAATCCCTGAAGCTATTAGACAAAAGAGGATAGGCTAATGGGGAGAGAAGAGTTCAGGGAATTAGGGTACCAGGGCCTTCCCCTAACTCACTGTAGGTACTACCCTTAAGCATTCTTAGAAAGGCGGTGCCTGTGATTCCAAATAGTGCAGATTACAGTTACTGCCCCAACAAAGCAGTCAACTGAACTGAAAGCGCTAAAAATAAGTTAATCAGACTCCACAGAATCAAAAGATCTTCTACTACCTTTTAAAGGCATTCTACTGGTACATTTCTCAATTTTGTGGGAAAAGAGAGCTACAGCACACAATGGCGACCTGTCTTTTCAATCTTGCATTTGATTTCTGGAGTGGTAGATTAATCTACTTTAAAAACAAAGTCATCCCTCCCACTATGACAGCTTAACTAAATCAGGTGTAGAGCCTCAAGGACTGTAACTATTCCTGCAAACCTTGTACGCAGCTTACACAAGCACTGCATCCCATCAAACACTGCAGGCAGAAGCAGCCTTGAAACACTGTCTTTACAGGAGGGAAATATTTATCCAGCTTTCTCACTGGTTTCAGAAAGGTCACCTCTCTGCAAAGATTCTCCCGTCTACTGTTAACTGGGTACCAGGTATGTGGAAAGTCAAGATGTGGTTGACAGCAAATGCTCACAAAGCACTTGGGATCCCAATTCCACCGTTCAGAGAACTAGTTAGGCTAAAATCTCCAAAGGTTGCTATTTAATCTTTCACGACAAGAGAATTAGTAGGGCGTCCTTTGAGCTCATCCCGCAGCACAATAGACTAAACTTGTTCTGCCTCAGTTAAGCGCGGTAAAGAATGAGCAATCCTTCCTTACCACCCACCCCTCCAACCCACCCAAGCTCCTTTCTCAAGGGATGCCTAAGTGATCTATTCACATGACTACGATCAACCTGTATCCAAGACAGGGTCTGCTGTCACCAACCTCCAAACGTTAGTATCTTACATATGTCGAAGCAACTGGACGACCGTAGAAGGTGAAAATCATACTTTCCTTTTCAATCTCATATTGCCCTCGCTGCTTTCACCTGTATATAAGAGCTAGCTCCACGTATTTTTTCCTCTTGCCTCCAAGCTAGCACGCAGTTGCTGGATAAACCAGCCACTACTCCCAAAGATTTGCCCAAAGCAGCTCTGCCAGATTTACCCAATCACCTGAGGGGTGATTTTCTGTACAGCGCCATCCCCTGGGGCTGGTCACAAGGGTCGATTGAGTTGGCTCACCACGGCCCCCCCACCACCCCCCACCCCCGTCTTCGAAAGGCCCTTCATCCAGGAAAAGTCAGACGCAAATTTAAGGCCCGGCCCTTTCGGATTTCAGAAAGATCCCGGAGGGCTAGGGCCGAGGGACAAAGGAAAGTGAGGTCAGGGGCGGCCTTTCCAGCTCGGGATAGGCCTGGGGTCACTCACCCGCCACCCCTCACACCACCTCTGTCGTCCCGGACTACCTCAAACCTGGCCCCTGAAGTCCAGAACTAGCCGGAGCCCGGGCCCTGGGCTCGCTCGCGCCCCTTCCGCGAGGCCCCATCCCAGGCCCCCGCCGCCACCCAGAGCCCCCGCACCTTCTTGGGCGCCTTGGTGACGGTGGCCATGAAGGAGTACTTCTCAGCGTCCTCAATCTCCTTGGCCTGCTTCAGCTCCTCCCCGACCCCGGGCAGCGGCATCGCGTCAGGCATCGACATCCCCCGGCCGGCCCGGCCCGCGGCTGACCCGCCGCCCCCGCCTCTTTCCCTCACCCGCGCCCGCCCGCCCGCGCGGCACCCTCAGACACGCGTTCGCCCACCCTCCCGCAGAGCCCGCGCGGAGCTGCGTCGGATGCTAAGGTGCTGTGGCCAGCGTCTCGTCCGCTCGGCAGTCTAAACCAGCCAGACAGGGACGACGGCTACAGGAGCACCAAGAGCAGCAGCGCCGAGGTCCGACCGGCCCGCGCCGCCACCTCCGCCGCACGCAACCACGCACGCAAAGTAAGGGTAGAGGGCGGTGACGCCACGTCAAGTACTGGCAGCTTCGAGCGGGGCGGGGTCAGGGGAAGAGGCGGGGAGAAACGGCGCCCTGCCGTGACGTCAGCACGCTGGATCGGGCTGCAGAAGCCACGCCTTCTTCTTCCCGCCTCGCTGGTTCCCAGAGTGAGCTGGACACTTTCCGGCGCCAGGTGGCGGCATCAGCCCTGTGAGCGGCGCGTGGTTTCCTCAAGGACGCCTCGGAACTCGGCGTGGGGAAGAAGGGGTTTCTTTGGGCTGTGGAGTTCCCCCGCCAAGGCCTCAGAGGGGCATAAGGGTGACGTTTGGAAGCAAAAACCGGAGTCCTACGCGACGCATTCTACAGCCAGTACCAGGAAATATGCGAGGATCCAGACGATCCATTCACTGCCCCAGACCCTTTGGACCAGCAGCCCCTAACCTTTCTGCTCACCCCATAAGGGTCAGCGGAACAGACTCACAGCACGCTGGTTTCTGTACAACCTTTTGTGACCTCCACCACCGTCTCCGCTAGGTCTTGCTTGTTTAAAAGACCTTCAGGCCGCAGAGCTAATGTTATCTGGCCATTGGGATGGGGTTAAGGTAGTGCAGAGAAGGAGGGGGCCTCGGGGGTGGTAGAGAGAAGTCCTGCCCTGAATGGTTTCCTGCTCTCCCCCAAGCATAGACTCTGCCAGCTTCCGGTGGCACCTGGGGCGTTCTCTTACTGGTCCCTACTATGTGCTCTAGGTTAAGGGCCTGGATAGTAGAGGTGTTTGTGATACATTTTATGTTTTGCAAGACAGTCCAGCTGCAGAGGCGAAGCCTATTTGGAACCCAATGCCAGCTGAGGTAGCATGTCCTTTGAGATTTAAAGGACAGTGGCTGAGTGCCATGTCCTGTGGAAAGTCCAGTGCCCTTCCCGGGATTTCTGTGAATTACTGGGTCTGTGTGTGGGGTTGGGGGAATGACTTAGATTTTCATGGTTATCTCTGGCTCTAGATTTCTGCCTCATCTGAAGTTTTATTCACTGTTCTGGTGGTGGTGGTTGTTTCTTTAGTTCTGCTGTCAATTCAAATATGGAACGCAGCCCCTTCTTTCAACCCCCATGCCTATTCCAAAACAACGGCAAAAATAATGCTGTAACATGTAGCAGAACTTTTAATGAAGGTTTGTGGGCCACAGGGGAGAGATTACATCACACAGCAAACAATTTAAAATCACATTTCTGAAATGTTCTGCAAAGTTATTTTGGCTATCTTGTCACCTGGGGTTTCTCATGGGCCACACCACCCCACAAAGTTCCCCTAGCCCAGTGCTGTCTAATGTGGCTTCCTCCATTACTCCCTTCCAGTTTTATTTTATTTAAATTCAATTAATTAGCATATAGTGTATTATCCGTTTCAGAGGTAGAAATCAATGATTTATTAATCGATACAACACCCAGTGCTTGTTACACCATGTGTCCTCCTTAATACCCAGTCACCCAGTTACCCCATCCATTACTCTCTTCCTATCCTTCCACCTCCCTCTCTCTTCCTTGATTGACTCTGAGAAGCCAGATTCCTCTCTACCTTGATCAGTAATTCAGGTCCTCCCAGTACCCCTGTCTCAAATTCCCCATGCCCAACCAAGCCCACCTTCTTATACCCAGAAGCCCACCAGGTCTTTGACAGGCTCAACTCTTTCAAGAAAGAAGCTGTGGTTTGAAATGACATCTTTTCCACTGGTTTGTGTTCAAGATTGGGGAGAGTATGAAATACATGCCTCTGGGGCCCTAGAGTCTTAGTCAGAGAAGCCCATGTTCCAACCACCCCGCCCCAGGGGGCCGTCTGTTTGAATCGGGCTGCGAAAGTGCCCGAAAGGCTGCATGCTTCCGCAGGCCCTCATCTTAACTGTTAGAATTCTCTATCTGCCCACTCTTTCAAGCCCCCAACTTCCCTCTGGCGGTATTCCTGTATCAGAAGGGACAGAAAGCAAGGGGACCAGAATAGCAGATTCATCCACAAGGGGGCGAGACTGGTACCTTCCTCTTTATCTCTCATCTGGAGCCAGGACCCTTACTTGCACACCCAGGAGTCTTTGGACCTACAGCCTAAAGTCGCTTGTTTCCTGTGGGTTTGCCCACACTGTTGTCAGAGTCCAGGGATCAGAGGTGCCTGCTCAGAGAACAGAGGCAGAGCCAGTTGGAACAGAGGTGAAAACGCCACATCCCTAGAATAGGAAAACATGTGACTTAGGATAGGTTATTAAAAAACAACAACAACAACGACAAAAACCAAAAAAAACCCAAAAAACAAAAAACAAAACAAAAAAAACCATAGATGTGTCTGTCCTTTGGATCTGATTTTTAAAATTCCCATTGTCTGAGAGCTTTGTCTCTCCAAGCCCAAGTTCTACCATGCATGTTAGCAATTAGACGGAGACTCTTGGAGATGGAAGATCCTGTCTCTCAGACTCCCCCTGAATCAAAGTAACAGGTTTTCCCTAACCCCTTGCTCACAGAACTGGCCTCCGCTGCTGCTGAAGATGTTGAAGACAGAGCTGTACCTTTGCACTTTGCACCAGGACGGAGACCGGCAGGCCTGACTCTGCCTACCTGAGTGCCTGGCCCAAGGGGAGGCTGGGGAGGCCGACTAAGGGGATCTGGGTGCCTAGACTGGAAGGCAAGAGGGACAGTACTCCCTGCCCTGGAAAAGGCAGCAGGCCTATATGGTTCATGTCGGGCCGGAGCCCAGGGCCTTCCTGGAAATCAGCCTGCTGCTAAGGACATGATGGGCTGGTATTGTCCCCACCATGTGTGGGCTGGAGCCCAAAGAACTCGCCCAGCCTGGGAGTATAATGACCTAATATGGGTGAGAACTGTGGCACACCACCACTCTCCCTCCTAGGTGGCCCCACTTGGCCCAGCTAAGGGGGTTGCCTCTAACGGATTACAAGAAATGACCTGTCCTCAGTCATCCCACCCTGAAGAGCATAATCTTCACAGATGAGAACAACCACCAGGGGCCCACGTTTGAGGGCCCCCAAAGACAGGTGCCTCTGTTGTGTGTGGTGAATGGAAGATACCAACGAGCCTCAGGGTCAGAAGTGACCCTGCTCTAGAAAGGGGTAGCCTGAGGGTAGAGATGAACTGGGAGATGCCATCACCAGAAATGTGCCTGCCCTGGGGTATCACACCTGGGCTTGGTCTTGTTAATCAAATTCACTAGTCTTTCTACCCCAAATTTACCTTCCACATTCATTCATTTTTTTTTTAATTCATAAAATTTACATCGAATGCTGGAGATGTGCTAGGAGTACCACTAGACATTGGAGCTACAGAGACAAAAGTATTACTGATCTCTACTGGGGGACAGAGGGTGGGGGATTCAGGGGTGGGGAGGGGGTGGGGACAGTCTTTGTAAGAGGCAGCGGCTCCTTGAGCAGCCCCTTGGCATATAAGCAGCTGGGCCTGGTAGGGAAGGGATAGCATGAGAAAAGGCAGGGCAATGAAATAACGTGATGTATTACAGGTACTGTCAATAATGCGGTGCAGGTGGGGCCTGGGGTCCAAAATGGAGCAGAGTGAGAGTGGAAGGTGGAGACAGATCCTGCAGATCCTGGCAAGCCGTGGGTGGGTGGGTGGTGGTGACATCCACCAGGATGGGGAACATGGGAGGAGAAGCAAATCTGGGCAGAGGGGCTGCTGAGATAAGGAGTCAGCTTCAGACCTGAGTTTGGTATGTCTGTGGAGTGCACTGCCTCCAAGTCCTGGGGGAGCCTAGGTAGGTGCCTTTCATACCCGCTGGCTTCTAGCAGGGCTGGCACCCCACAGAGCAAGGCTGGCCTCCCCCTGGAGGCCTTTGGGCCTCCTTTTAGCTCTCTGAAATAAAAGGTGCAGAAAAATTGCAAGAGATCTTGGATGACCACAGAAGCAAGGGAGCAAGGCTCAGTGGCTCTACTTTCGTCTGATGGATCACCTCCCGTCTTCCTTCTGTCCCAGGGCCTCCCTGTTGCACAACTCTGGGAGGCAGTATGAACATTGACATGAAAGGGGCTCCTGAAGCAGGACTCCAGATTGCTGATCTGGCGTCTTGGCCCTGAGGGACCCCAGAGGCGAGGCTCCCAGCTCCCCCTCTGCTTCTCGGGACACTGGCTCCACAGGCATGCCTGGCTCCCGCCTCCCACCCAACTCTTTCACTACCCATGTCCAGTACCCCCTGCCTCCCACTTTGTAACTCTAGACCTTTCTTTCCTTCTTTTTTTTTTTTTAAAGATTATTTATTTATTTGATGGAGAGAGACACAGTGAGAGAAGGAACACAAGCAGGGGGAGTGGGAGAGGGAGAAGCAGGAAGCCTAATTCGGGGCTCAATCCCAGGACCCTGGGATAATGACGTGAGCCGAAGGCAGATGCTTAACGACTGAACCACCCAGGTGCCCCCCTCTAGCCCTGCGAAGATAAAAATCTCTTCCCATCGCTCTAAGTTCGCTTCTGGTTCTTGGCCGTTTGCAGAAGCTGACATTTACATACCTGTGACCCATAGGTGTGTGTCGCTTTGTGTTCTGCTTTGATCAGATTACAATATTTCGAAAACACATTACCACATACAGAGATAGCTTACATGCTTGTCCTTGTCAATGTTTCCCAAGCACTCCTTTGTCTTGCCATAAAAGTTGGCTTTGTCGCGCTCCCAGGGCTAGGCCCTGGTTTCCAGCTTACTGCCATCTGAATAAAGTGTGTGTCAGAGTGGCTAGGCTTTCAAACAAGACAGACAAATTTGGGTCACAGCACCCAGGTCCTGCCAGAGAGAAGGAGCAAAAATGTAAACTGAAGGGCCAATTGTCCTGGCCATAAATAGAAACTTGGGGGAAGGCACCTTTCGGACATAGGGGATGGGAGGCCCAGCGCTTGGAACTTGTGATGGCTAACACATGGAGCGGGGGCTGCGTGGCGTGGAGGGAAGCCGGGCATCTGGACAGATGGT